TGCTGGGGAGACCTGGCTGGAGTTTGGGTGCCTGCCTTCAGACGGGCCTAGTCCAGCCATGGTAGCCATTTGTGTGGGCTGTGGCAGGTGAACCACGGATGGAAGATTTCTTTGTCTCTTTTGTGTGTGTGTGTGTGTGCATTTGTTGCCCACTTTCTGTTACACTGCCATTCAAATAAATAAAATTTAAAAATGAAATAAAGTCTAAGAAACACATTTTCCTAGGAGCTTCCTTTAGGATTGACACTAAGAGCCCTCGGAGATTCCACCCCTTTAGTCCAGCGTGGACAAGATAGGACTTTAGCAGCATGTTGAGGCTACTGCTAAGCAGAGCTGGGGGACACAGAGTCTCGGGGCCATCACATACCTCGGGGGAGATGGATTTTCTAGAACCAGGTGGGTGTGCAAGGCTCCCACCAGCACTGGGGAGGAGCAATGAGAATGAGAGCTGGGGGTGTCTCTCATCCTTACGGCCATGGCTTTGTAGTCCGGATGGGAACTCAGCTTTTCTAGGGCTGTGCTACTTGAAGGCACTTGGAAAACTTCAAGGAAACAGAATTAAAGGATAAGACTGTTTGGTGCCAAACTTCATGGTAAAAGTTTGCTAAGTAATAACTATCAAGTTTCAAAACTGGTTTGGACCTAAATAAAAAATGAATTCTATTTTTGTGGTGATGTTTAGGAAGTACCCTGTGTTTCATCTTTATTTATCTGCCATAGAAAAGTCAAAATTTTGGGGCCCATGCTGCGGAGTAACAGGTAAAGACACAGCCCAGGGTACAGGCATCACCTATGGGCACTGGTTCGAGCCCTGGCTGCTCCACTTCCTATCTAGCACTCTGCTATGGCCTGGGAAAACAGTACAAGATGGCCCAAGTCCTGAGACCCCTATCTCCATGAGGGAGACCTAGAAGAAGCTCCTGGCTCCTGGATCAGCACAGCACGGCATTTGTGGCCATCTGGGGAGTGGACCAGCAGATGGATGACCTCTCTCACTCTCTGCACTTCTGATCCTGTGTAACTCTGCCTTTCAAATCAATCAATCAATCAAAGAATAAAGAGAAAGAAAAAAACCATAGAAGTAAGATTGGTATTACCTTTACTTAATGGAAAACAGTAACAAGAGTCATCCTACTTTAATTTTTTTGGCTTAAGTAATGAAACTGTAGTGAGAATTCCTGGGGTGCTGGTTCTTTCCTCCCAGCCTTGAGGCAGGGACCAGCACTGCAGGAAATCACAGATAAATCATACCATGCAATGTCCCTGGGCAACCGGAGGAGGGGTCATCTCCCCAGGGAGGGTTCCTCTCCCAAGAGGGCTTGGGCAGTCGGTGCAGAGGGACCACCACGTGTTCCTGGGCCCACGGCTGTGCTGGGCCCTGGGGGCTCCTCAAGAACTGCAGGAGACACCGACATGCCTGCTGTGTGGGGCGGGGGTTCCCGGGCTCATTTCCTACCTGGGAGGAGGCTGTGGCTTCCTCGGGAGAAACACTGGTCCTGAGGGCTCAGCACGAGGCTGTCCCAAGGAGACAGATCCGAGGCTGTGATGCGGCCAAGTCTCATCGTTTCTGGGCTGTGCAGGTCTTGAGTAGTTGAAGCAGGGAGTCTGATTTTCTTTTTCTAAGTTGTATTCTATTTGTGCGAGCATGAAGAGGGGAAAGAGAGTGCTAGTGAGGGAGGGGGGAACTCCTCCATGCTCTGCTACAGCCCACAAATGGCCTCCAGGACTAGGCCAGGCTGAAGGCGGGAGCCAGGAGTTTTGGTTGTTGTGACAGGAGCCCAGAACCCCAAGTGCCTGGCAGAGGACAGTCTCGGAGGATGTAGCTTTCTCGGCTGCCACTGATTGGGCCTTCCCTGTTTGGACTGCACGGACTGCACTGCCTTCTGGGCTTCCAGGGTTTCTGCCTCTCAAGAAATCTGACCATGACTTAGGGGGAAAGGGTGACAAAGCCACCTTCCTCTCAGCTCTGGAGATGCGGACAGTGTACCTGGCCATGGTGTCTTGGGCAACAGAACACGTGTTGAGTTTACCGAGGCCAGAGAAGTTGTTCCATCATTCAGAGACCCATCACTCAGAGGGTAAAGGCAAAGGAGGGGATATACTAAGTGGAGACACCAGGAGGTCTTCGAAAGACACAATTATCACCTTTTACACTAGAAAAGAAAAGACCACCGACGCACCATACTAGTTTGAATTTCTCAAAAATTAAGTATCAATCCCTATCACCAATCAAAGGCAAAAGCTTTTAGGGTATCTTTTTAATTTAATTATAAAATTCCTGCAAAAACCCCCGTGAATTATCTGCAGCTGTGATTGGTCAATTTCTTGCTCTGACTTCATAATGCCTCACTGTTAGGAAAGTCATATTATTACAGAGTTCCTGGCTGGGCTGGGATTGGTCCGTTTCTCGCTCTGACTTCATAAGGCGCCACTATGTGAGGTGAGCCCCCAAAAAGTATATATGGCCGCTGCGGGGCCTGGGTTTTCGTCCGCCTTACCCAGAGAGCACTCTTTTGTGATCTGTGTAACTAGGACCCATCTAACCAGCCTTTGCGCTCGTTGGTGTTGCTTGTGCGTTTTCTTGGTTGTTGGTTTCTGCGTCTGTTTGGTTTTTGCTTTTTCCAGTTTTATTTAGTTTGTTGTTTTCCTCCTCATTGTTGTTTTGCCCATTTGGCCTTTTTTTGCAGTTTTCTTTATTTTTGCTTCCCCCACTCTAGTCAGCTAGCACACTCAGAAGTATCAGCATTTGAGGATTTAGTGGCTTTTCCTCTTTGTTGTTTTCTGCTTTATTGAGATAGTCTTGCGGCTTCGCCTCTAGAGTAGTGAGAGTAGCTGGTGCTGTGTCTTAGTCAGCTGGGCAGTCAGGCCCCCGTGGTCCCTTTGTGTTGTAGGCAGTGCAGTGAGGGTCGGTGATTAGCTAGCGTGTGTCGAGCGGGTTAGGGAGTTGAGAGAGCGTAGTTAGGTGACCGGCGGCATGAAAGGCCCCTTGGACGTCCATCCTCCTCTGGACGGGTACCACTTTGTGGACGTGATCGGCCGGGGCGGCTTCAGCCTGGTGAAGCTGGCCAGGCACCTGGCGTCGGGCAAGTACGTGGCAGTAAAGATCATGCGAGATGCCTCTCCCAGCAGCCCGCTGTCCGCGCAGGGGGAAGCGGCCATCCTGAGGAGCCTGCGGCACGACAACATCGTGCGGCTGCTGGAGGAGCAGCACACGAGGAAGCACCTGTTCCTGGTCATGGAGCTGGCAACCAGGGGCTCGCTCTATCACTATGTGCAGCGGCACGGCGGCCTGGCCGAGGACGAGGCCAGGGCCCTGTTTGGCCAGGTGCTGGCCGCCGTGAGCTACTGCCATGGCCAGCGCGTGGCACACCGGGACCTCAAGCTGGGCAACCTGCTGCTGGACGAGCACATGACCATCAAGCTGGCGGACTTCGGGCTGAGCCTGCGGCTGGAGCGGGGCACGCTGGTAAGGGGCTTCAGGGGGACCCCCGAGTACTGCGCACCAGAGGTTTTCCTCAGGGAGGACTACGACGCTTTTAAGGCTGACGTGTGGAGTCTGGGGGTGGTGCTGTTTGCCATGCTGGAGGCCACGGTGCCCTTCCACGGCAAGAACATGCACAAGCTGCAGGACCGGGTGCTGTGTGGCGTCTATGTGGTGCCACGTGGCATCAGCCCGGCCCTGCAGGAGCTGCTGGCGTGGCTGCTCACCGTTGATGCCTCGGGGAGGCCCAGTGCGGAGGACGCCAGGACCCACTGGTGGTTCAGCCCCAGCCGAGAAGTCGCCCAGGAGCACGAGGAGGACGCGGTCACCCTGCTGCAGCCCCTGGGCGTTCCCCGGGACCCAGAGGCTAGGGAGTACCTGGCGGGCCTCGGGCTGCTGCCAGGCATGGGGACCGAGGGGACGCCAGGCCCTCAGCCCCAGGACCCCGCGTCCCTGCCCGAGTCCTCGCAGAGCAGCAAACGCCCCCCCATAGAGGACGACGGTTTGGCTCTGGTGTCGGTGTCCCGTGACAGCATGGCTGTTGGCTACATTTCCTCCGCACAAAGCGACTCCTCCGAGGCCCCCAGTGAGTCTTGCCCTCTCCCTTCCCAGCCCCTCCTGCCTTGGGCCCTCCAGGAGCTGAGTCCAAGGCCCCTGAGGTGACCCCACTCTTGACTCTCTCCTACCAGGCCAGCCACAGCAGGAGAGGAGCCCTGCTCCCAGCGCCGCCCCCGACTCCTCCGAGCCCTCCAGTGAGTCTTGCCCACTCCCCACATCCCCTGCCACTTTGGGGCCTCCAGGAGCTGAGCCCAAGGCCCCGAGGTGACCCCACTCTTGACTCTCTCCTACCAGGCCAGCCACAGCAGGAGAGGAGCCCTGCTCCCAGCGCAGCCCCCGAGCCAGCCTCCAAGGCGTCGCCCTCCAGCCCCAGTGCCAGGAACCATGTGGACCTCGCAGAGCCAGAAGCCGCCCCAGCTGCCCGTGAGCCTGAGGGGGCTGGGACCGCAGCCACCGCAGCCACCGCTGCCACCACAGCCAGCGCCCAGGGCAAGAGGCAGGGCCGGCGCGGGGTCGGCAGGAGGATCCTCCGGTTCCTGCTGAGGGCGTGCCGCATCCTGCCATCCCGAGGGAGCGGCCCTGGCCTCCGCTGCTGCAGAGTGGCCCCCAAGTAGCCTCGCTCCGCCCCCATCACCAGGAGCAATGCGCAGGCTGAGTTGACTGAACGTTTTTCTTTTTGTGAGCATTTGCAAATGCTTCTCATGAATAAACTTCACCTTTGTGCATGGCTTTGGTCCCATGTGATGTTTGGGTCCCTGTGTGCACCTTGGGGAGGTGATGGAGGCATGGGCAGTATTGTCTTTCTCATGGAAAAACAAACACTGGGCGATCACACCCATGTGGGGATCACAGAAGGGGTGACATCATAGAAGCAGAGCATAGAGTGACACCTCCCAGAGGCTGGGTGGGAGAGAGGGAGGGAGGGGCAATCACTTGTCCACATGGCACAGGCACACGAGGGTCGGGGTCTGAGGTCTCTGGCACAGCAGGGAGGTCCCAGTCCACAGAGCTGTGCCTTGCAACAGAGCTGTCAGTGTCCTATCTAACATCTCCTGCGTCGTCAAGGGAGAACACGACCCCATTCCCATGCACCTGACCTCATGGGGTATGGGACCCACTGACTCTGCAGTCCAACAGCTGCAGGTGAAGCCGGGCAGGACGTCCATGCTGCTGTGTGCCCGGCCTGCCCATGGTGAGGCCCAAATGCAACAGAGGACACGGGCAGGCCGAGGACCTGGTTTTAGTTCAGGAGGCCCCTGGCAGCACCCAGGTCTTCCAAGTTCCCAGGGAATTGAAAGAAAGGCTTGAGACCTACTGGAGAGGACAGGACCCTTCTGCCCCACCTGGGGACACTGGAGGATGGGACCTCCCCCACCCCGGTCTTCCTCACTTCCACATTTCTGGGGCAGGTAGGCTGTGTTTAGTGAAGGAGCCTTCTTCCAGATCTGAGGTTACATGGATGCTCCGTGCACAGAACTGGGCTGCGTGGGCTCCAGCAGGTGCTCCCGTCACACATGCAGTGCCTCTGGAAAGTTCCATGGGGAAGTGACTCAGAGAGTTATCAAGGTCACCCCAACGAGTGACCGGTGCTTCACAGCTGTCCTGAGTGACAGGGCTCTGAGCCGTGTGCTGGGCATAGGAGACCCTGTGACCCCCGACCTGCACATTACCTGGGTCCCACCATCAGAAGTCCCGTGGGAACCCCAGGTCCTGCAGGCGAGTGTGCGTCTTCCCCAGGGCCCACTGCACAATGACAATGGCCCAGGGACCAGGCCCTGTCAGGGGTCAAGAGGTGGCCTGGGCGAGGCCCCCAGGAGGCTCGGGTTTCTGACTGCACTGCTGAGCTCCTGACCGGGCCCTGTGCAATGTCTGCGGCCTCTCCACACTGGCATTTCAGCTTTGAGAGCTATGGAAGGAGCAGTCCCTCTGGGAGGCTTGGCCTGGCTCCCAGCCTTAGGCTTGTCTCCAGCCTGGGATCAGGAGGGCAATGGATAGCAATGACAGCATAGCAGAGGGCTGGTGGGCAGGGAGCTTGTGAATAAGGACAGGGTCCAGGGTCCTGGTGACCTGGATTCCCACGGGAGGCATGAGGCTGTGGTTGGGGAAGGGTCTTGGGGCATCCACCATCTCAGGCTTTCCTGTGCAGGGACCAAAGTGGTCATGGGCAGGATGTCCCAGGGCCTCCCGGTCACCTGAGCTTGTCCTGACCCTGAGAGCAGGGCTGGGCCAGGCTGGCAGGCTTGTCGCCCCGGGTGGCCCCAGTGGGAGAGAGGGAGAGATCTTCCATCTGCTACTTTACTCCCCTACTTTACTCCCTACTTTTACTCTGGCAACAGCCAGAGCTGGGCCAGGCCACAGCCAAGAGCTAGAATCTTCTTCCAGGTCTCCCATGTGGGTGGCAGGCGCCCAAACACTTGGGCTATCTTCTGCTGCTTTCTCAGGCCATCCCATAGTCCAAAGATTTCTCTACCGCATTCCTGGATCTGCGTTGGCCCAGCAGGAAAGGGAGAAGCCAGAGGGAAGGGACTGCCCTGACTTTTAAGGTCAGGAACAGAGCCGTGCGCACATTGCTCCATTCACCTCGTGAGTGCCCACCCGAATCTGGTGGTGTAGCCCACCCAACAACCGGGAAGGCTGGAAATGTAGTCTCCATTCTGGGCGGCTAGATGCCCCGCTAAAATGCGGGGCCTCAAAGTTTGCAAGAACAGGGAAATGATGACTAAGGGGGCACAGCCAGCAGTCCCTGTGCTCCCAGAGCGAGGAGGAACGGGACTCGATCCCCTATCTGAACAGAGGAGAGGGAGGGGCAGGCGGCAAGGAGAACCACATCAACTCACATGGCGGAAGCTGACTGCACGGGCATGAAGGCTGGTAGGACCTGGAGCAGACCCCACTCTCTCCTTGCTACACATCCTGTCCATTTCTAGAAAGCAACACTTAGGAACAAGAAACTAGCACACAGCACGATACATACGATGAGTGAGCACTCTGACTGCATTCGCTAGGATGGCTCTCAGGGAGAAGCTATGGTGCTTACTTAGAGATTCTCTTGAGGAGTCATGGGAGGTGCTTGGGAACAAGGATTGGCAGGACTCTGAGAAACACAAGCGGTGCCATGGTGGGAAGCACCCAGGAACCACACCGCATGGGCTGGGCCGGGGTCCCCACGCCCTGCACCCCAGAGGAGCTGATATCAGGGGACAATGGCTGCCTCCCTCTGTCCCTGTGTCCCTCAGACAGAATGCCAAGGGCTGGGCCCACCCAGGACAGGAAGTAGTGAGAGGGAGGTGGGGATGGAGGAGGGCGGGGCCCGCCTCTCCCACCATTCACTGGGCATGGCTGCTGTCCTGGCCTCCCTGAGACCCTCAGGGTGGGGCCATGACCCAGAATCCCAAGCCAGGGGCAGGGGCAACCAAGGGGCCCAGTGTTGGAGGTAGAGAGAACGCTGTGCATGGCGTCCCACAAGGCATTTCGACATCAGGAGCTGTGCTGGGCTGCTGCTGCTCTCAGTGGACATGGATGAGGAATGTGACGTCTCTGGGGTGGTCCAAGCATCATCATCACAGCCTGTGTGAGTCTCTGCAGGGTGGGGCTCTTGGGGAGCTTGTTTTTCACCTGTGCTGGTCCTGGTCTCCTGCGGGCCACGCCCCAGCCTTCTGCTTTCTCTGCGTCTCCCCTGGAGTCCCATACAAGGGTGCTCACTGGCTGATGCCTACACAGGGGATGATGGCACGCAGGGGGAGGAGTCCAGGGACTGCAGGCGGCCAGATGGTGGGGTGTGAGCATAGGGGAGGGAGGGCTTGGAGCTGACTTAGGAGTCGCATTTCCCCTGGCAGCCCTGGAAGCCTCTGCTGGGTTCTTAGTGGTGCAGAGGGGAGATCAGAGAAGTGCCCAGGGGCAGTCAGGATGGGAGGGGCAGTGGGGGGAGGGAGGCGTGCATCTGCTGCAGGAGCTATGGGGGCAGCTGTCCTGGTGAGGGCTTGGACCAGGTGGGGACAATGGGGGCAGGCGGGCGCTGCCTCTGTGAGCCCCTGAGGAGGAAGGGAAGACACCTGGGTGCAGGACAGGCAGGAGGTTCTGGGCATTGACACCCGGCAATGGTGCAGAGAGGAAAAGGGGAGAAAGGAAACCAGGGATTTCCTAATGCACTAAATTCTGTCGCTACCACAGAATACCTGGCACTGGCCATTTATTTATTTGTTTATTTTTAAAGACACTTACTTAATAGGCAAGTTCCACAGAGAGGGAGAGGGAGATAGAGAGAAAGAGACATGCTCCGTCCACGGCTTCACTCCCTAGATGGCCACAACAGCCAGGGCTGAGCCTGACACTTAGGTTGTCTCCTCTGCTTCCTCAGGTGCATCAGCATGGGGCTGGATTGGAAGTGGAGTAACTGGGACACGAACTGGCGCCTACACAGGAGTTACCCACTACGCCACCGTGCAGGTTCCCGAAGTGGTCTTGTTGTACCTTCCCACCCAGAGTCTACCTGGAGCACCCCCTTGCTGGCAGGTCCCCAGGACTTCCTAAGGCACACAGAGTGGCCTCTCTGTGAGCCCAGCTGTTGGGAGCAGCCAGAGGAGGAGAGCAGACCAAGCCTTTGGGCCCGAAGAGATGTGGAGGGACTGCTGGCTCCTGGACAGCTTCAGCCAGGCTGGGGCCCAGCCCAAGGCTCCAGGCCTCTGCATCCCTCAGCATCCTTGTCTGAGTCCTGCAGGTCTCCGTGGTCCTGCTCAGCTGCAGATCTCCACCCAGGGTCACAAGTAGCCCCCTTCCCCACAGCAAAATAATCAGAGTCCAAGCGTTGTCCCCTGTCTGTGGATGGCACGGCACGTGCACTGACACCCACCTGCACACACATGCACAGATGTCCACACACACATATGCAGACACAACTGTATACACACACGTGCTCACACACATGTTGACGCACACACACATGCACTGGGTTCTACGTTGCACTCTCCTGGATTTATAGGTGAAGAATTTTTATGTAGATCTTCTGCCATTTTCTTTCCCATGGACACTTTATTCTTTTTCACAAGCAGTTCCAGGTGGCTGGGAGCCTCCAACACTGGGCCCCTCTGTCATCCCCGCCCCTTGCTTGGGATTCTGGGCCATGGCCCCACCCTGAGGGTCTCAGGGAGGCCAGGACAGCAGCCATGCCCAGTGACTGGTGGGAGAGGCGGGCCCCACCCTCCTTCATCCCCACTTCCCTCTCACTACTTTCTGCCCTAGGTGGGCCCAGCCCTTGGCACTCTGGCTGAGGGACACAGGGACAGAGGGAGGCAGCCATTGTCCCCTGACATCAGCTCCTGTGGGGTGCAGGGTGTGGGACCCCGGCCCCACCCATGAGGGCAACTCCCCCTGCCCTGGGGGCCTTCATCCATTGATGAAATGTCCTGGCAGCTCTGGAGTCTGGGCGGTAGGCCACTGGGGCAGTGGACACTGGACGACCTCTGTGTCTCTCCTAGTCTCTCTGTAGCTCTGTTGTTAATAAGGGGGAAAGGGTGCGGAACTCCTCTTTGTGGGTTTCTGGGTGTTTGTGTGTGCGTGTGAGCTAGGGGGTTCCCCAGGTGAGACATCAGCTCCCTAGCCGTCATGAAAACATGACGCTCCCCCTCCCCCTGCTACTAGAATGGCTCACGGGACGGGGACTGAGGATTTAGATGTTGGCAAGAGCGTGGAGAGAACCCAATAGTGTGTACTTCCGGCCGCTGTGTGTGGGCCTTCCTTTCTGGTTTGGGGGTGCTGCCCTGAGCACAGAGAATGGGACAATAATACTCACCTCAGCCAGAGGAACTGTGAAGCTCAGAAATAAGTCCCTTTTAAAATATCAATTAACCAATTAAGGTGTCAGGTATTCTGTAATAGCAACAGATCTGAGTGGCCTAAACAATTTCTTCCCAGCCCAGCCTGGGAAGTTAGCGCTGGAGGAAGGTATCTCTGGCACCACATGCATTGAAGAAGAGATGGTATCCTGTTACAAAACCAGGAGTGTCAGTGACAACCATGTGTCTGAGGATACAGACAATACAGAAAAATATCCTGGGTATGAAATGGTTCTTGTTCCACATTACAAGGGATGCTCTGGAGTCCCGGGGGGAGGTGCTACAACCAAGGTCTAATACTGAGTCCTCTACTCTCCCTTGTAGTCCCAGGTGGGTCACTGGGCCTCTCTGAACTTCAGCTTCTTCATCCACCAATTTAGTACAATGGTAATACCTTCCCTACTGATTCTGCCATGGTGTTGATAAGATCAAATGAGATGTATATGAAAGTGAATAATAAAACATAATTTGTGTTGAATATTCTCATGCTCTGGTTTCCACCGGCTTCAGATGAGATTCCACTGTTTAGCAGAATGGCTTCACTATAGAAGTTACTCATCAATTATTTGCTGGAGCATTGTTGATTTTGCTATTTATAAAAGAAGTTAAGTCAACTTGAGTACTTTCATCCAGAAGCTATTGGAAAAGATAGGAGGAGAAGGGAACAGGGAAAGAGATTCAGACCTTGTGTGGATCACACATCTTCCTGGGTGCCTACTTGTAGACAGCCCTGCTCTCCTGCCCTAGGGTGAGCCTGGGGGGGGGGGGCGGTCTAAAAGACAGAGAGCAGAACAGGCAGGCAGTCAGGTGAGTGAACCCTGGGAAGGGTTCATGACCCCAGACTCCCTCCCTCACTGTTGTAAACAGATCTGTTATGGCATTTGCTATGTCTATTGTCCCTGTCACAGGGAACCGGCTCTCACAGCCATATTCTGGATCACAGAATGACCACATTAAGTTGACCACAGTTGAGTGAGTGATAGGCATCTGACCCAGGAGTACACAATCCACAGACTGGCCATTGGCCAGTGAGATGGCCTGTCATGGAAATTTCTCTCCAAAGATTAATGACTTGAGCAACATGAAAAGAACAGTTAGCAGTTAGCAGTGAGCACAGAGACTTAAGAGTCACAAGGTAAACAGAGACTGGGTAGGGGAGTGCAAGGGGTCATGGGTGGGCCACAGCTCTGAGAACACAGAAGCCATGAGCCAGAGAGAAGCTACATAGAGCAGAGAGTGAGGGAACCAGGTGAGGGAGGCAGAGAAGTGGACAGGCATGGAGAGGGCAACACATGGAGAAGAACAGAGACACGATAGTGAGCACGCTTTTCTGCCACTGCTCAGCCCCAGAACCCTCACATCTGAAGAGCCGTCTGCCCTCTCCTCCCCAGGCTTGGCTCACCTTGGGGTTGGCTCCTTCCTGAGCCCACCCATTCAGCTTCCCCAGAGCACCTTGCAAGCCTGACTCGGTGGCTGGCATTCTGCTTTTCTTACTCCCGTGTACATCCTCACCACAAACTCTGCAAGATTTGAGGACTCCTGATGGAGTCTGCTTCTTGCAATCCAGACTCTTTGTCAACCAGGCTAACTTTGGGGATCTGACAGTTTGAGCTTCAGAGCCCAGGTCTCAGGCATTTGTCTCCCAAAGCCGGGGGAGCTGAGTTCAGCCCTGTGGTCTGGAATCTTGAATCTCTGACATCTTTATTCCTGGAACCCCACATGAAATCCTCACCATTAGGACTGTCAAGGAATCCATGCAGGTTGGCTGGTCTTTGGCCATCTGTTCACCCATACTAGTTCCACTGTCCTCTGAGGACTAACATCAGCCAAATTGCCGCTAGAGGTTGGATAGCTAGAGATGGATGCTGAAACCTTAATGCAGGCTCTCTCCTAAAATTGGCAAAGCATGAAGCATAGGTGGAGGTTCCCCACCAACCTGCTCTAGCCCATACCTCCAGGGGTTCATGTACAGACATGGAGTCCCAGCTTTTAAGTTCAAGCTCCATTTACACCTCCACCACAACTTCAGTAACCACCCTGTGGCCCACCTTCAGACACAGGAGTCTGCAGGCCAATGGTGAAGTTCCCTGGGAGGCTGGACCCAGGAAAGAAGTTGCTGTAAACCTGGGAGGTAGCTCAGGTCTGTCTGGTGTTGGGTGCCAAATACTTTAAACATGGTCCAGAAGGGTACAGGGTGTTGGGTGCCTGCTGTCTCTATTCTATCTCCAGCCCCAACAAGAGCAGCAGCTTTGCTCTGGTTTCTTCCGAGGCTGTAGATAAGAAGGACCGTCACCTGCACTGTGCTCACTGCGGCCAGGGAACACGTGGAAGTATGCTTCACGTATTATCTGATTGTTATGCAAGCCTCATTATCATTATTCCTAATTTGCACATGAGGGCACAAGGGCACAGAGAGATGAAGTAACTTATCAAGGAGTACCTGAGTGGCAGCAGTAAGATTCGAACCCTAGCAGTTTGGCCTCATGGTCTGTGCCATAACCATCTGGTCACACTGCCTCTGCAGCCCAGTGCAACTGAGGTTCCATGCTCACATCACATTCCAGCTGGGAACACCCGTGGGAGCACTGAAACCACTCTCCTTTTGTCCATGGCTGCCTCGCCTCAGCCTTGCCTGTTCAAGAGCCTCTCCAGGAGGAAATGTGGAAGAGAGACAGTCTACTGGGGGAAGACTGATGGGGCCAGAGTGGGGACAAGGTCAAAGCCAATACCTGCCCTTCACTACGCACTTGCTGTGGGATGCTCTACCTACAGCATCTCATTTAATCCTCCCCTCACTAACAGCTTGGGAGTAATATCCCCATTTAAAGAAGCCTAAACAGAGATTTAAAAGGCTGCATAACTTGGTAATTGGCTTAAGTAGAATCTGAATGCAGGCCCTTCTAGTTCTAAGAGAACAGCATGTGGCAGTCACATTGCAGGGGCCCAGTGCAATCCCCCTCTTCCTCCCTGCCTCCTGCCTGCCCTCTCTTATTCCTCCTCTCTACTCCCCTCCCCTACTTTGCCTCCTCCCTTCTTTCTTTCCCTTTTCCTGCTCTTCTGGGGACAGAGATGGTTGCTGGGTAGGCCCCTCCTCCTCTGACAGTCTCCCTGGTACGACCAGCACATTCCCTGGTCAATGCTTGGTAAGGCAGGGGCATGAGAAGGCGGGGACAGATGGGGAGAGAGGGGGACAGGAAAGGAGGTGAGGGGCAGAGAAGGAGGGAGGAGAGAGAGCGAGCACAGGAAACAGGGTAGGAGAGGGGGAGACAGAAGGAAGGGGCCAGGGATCCCCCCTGCTGCAGGGTCTTCAGACTGGGGCATGGGCTGCTGACCCAGAAACACAGAGCTCACTTGCAGCTCTCCCTAACTACATCTTCAACAGCTGGTGAGGGAGAACATTTACCAATAAATATTTGCACAGCCACATAGCCATGGCTGCCACACACTGGCACAGACACAGAGGAGCCGGCCCACTCTTGCGACCTGCACTCCCCTGTGCCTTCTGCCTCTGTAGTCTGTGGGGGACTACAGAGTCCCTGCAGCCTGGCCTAGGGCTTGGGGCCCAGGGCTGGAAGCCTGTGGCCCTCTGAGGTCTTCCTGGGCACTGCTGGCACTGCAAGCTCCTAGGGGGCCCTGGGGCAGTCCGTGTCTGAGCTGTGCAGTAGCGAGCAGGGAGCTGCTTGAATGTCTGAGCTGAGACGGGCTTTGAGGACTGACTGCTGTCACTTCCTCGGTCCTTGAAACTTCCAAATGGTCTAAAGCCACAGGCAGGTCCCAAATCACCATAGTGTGGCTGAGTGTTGAAGTCAGGATAGACTAAGTGCTCAGATGCACAACCTGCAGTCCCTAATGCTTGACACAATGCATTGCCTCCTCTCACTCAGCCAGGGGCTCCCTGGAGGTGGTGTGAGGGCTCTGCTCCATGGAGTCACACAGGCACCCAGGCCCTAGCCATCTTTGACACAGGTCCCCACAAGGTCCCCACAAGAGGCAAAGGGAAGGTGGGGTCTCCCCCATGGGAGGTTTTGAAAGGCCAGGCCCAGAGGTGGAGTCCATTACTCCTGCCCCCATTCTGTGGGCTGGAACTCATCACACAGCCGGCTCCACAACAAGGGAATCCCAGGAAAGGAGAGGGAGGAAAAAGTCGATGATGGGCAGGAGCAGCAATGTCTGGAAGGAGGCAGGACTTCCTTTCCTTTCACTCGGAGGGCCCACAATTGGTTTCTCAGCTATTTGTTCCATGCCAGACCCTCTACAGAGATGATTTCATTTTGTCCTCACAAGGGCTAGTGCCAAGGACCAGCATTACTCCTGGGTGCAGAGGGTAGAAGGAAGGCAGAGAGAGGCTCAGTGACTGCACGTGGTCACACAGCTTTGGACTGATGGTTCCACTGGGATGTGAGCCTGGCTCTGTCTGACCCTAGGAAGTGCTCCCGCCTGCCCCAGGAGCTGAGCACGCCAAGGGTAAGGAACTAAGGACAAGACTTGCATGCTGGAATTCAGCCATGGCTGGGTCAAGTCAACCTCTAGCAGTCAACAGAGAAGCGGGGCCATTGTCCTCCACAGCGGTGTCCTCACCCCGACTCCCAGGCAGGGCCTGTGAGGCACAGAGCCTCTGAATCACCATGCAGTTTGACAACACATCCCTTACCGAGCAAAACTGCTTTTAAAAAGCACTTACTTTTTATGATCTAATTCAGGATGATATTGAATGTTCTCCTGCCGATGCCTCTGCCCCCTTCCCACCAACTCCTCCTTCTTTGCACCCTCCTCCCTTTCGGTGCCCCCTGCCCCCCAAACCCCTCCCTTGCTTATGGGCACCAAGGCCCACGTCCAGAGCCCAGGCTCTCCCCATCCTTGAGAGAAAGCTGACCCCACCAGCAGGGATGCGCCGTCCCCAGGCCGTGGCTTGGCAGCCTCCTGCTCCACGTTCCTCTCATTTCAGATCTTGCCTTTGCCACTTGTGTGCTCATGGAGATCATGAATAAGGGGGGCAGATAGGTGCAGTTCAAGGATGCCTCCACCACTTTTGTTCCAGGGCCTTGATCAATAATTAGCCTCCCTTGCTTTCTTCATCTGTCAAATATAATGATAGCAGCCTCACAAGCTGTGGTGTGGTTTAAGTGAAATAATTCAAGTCTCAGCCCAGTGTTTAGCGCACAGAAATAGCAGAATTCCTCTTGGTGTTCTCAGCTCTGGTCCAAACATGTGTCCATGAGTAGGTAGTCCTTTGAATGCCTCCCCCAGGGCCTGAGTCAGAAGGCACTGCCTCTGCTCAGCCTCTCACCCCATTCTAGCTCTCCAAGATATCTCTACGCACAAAGCAGTTCCTACACCTGCCATTCTGAGTTGATGGGAGGGAAGCCAAGGAAGCACTTTGTGAGAGGCACTGTGCAATTAATCAAGAAGGGGAGAGGAGGTAAGTCCAAGTCTTCTGAGAAGTT